CTGGCGAAGGACGCCCTGCGGTTTTGTTTTTCTCTTTTGTGAATTAAAGAATAAATGTGCTAGTCTGCTCGGCGTTCCCGGCCTCTCCGGGCCCTCCCTGCCCTGCAGACCCTCGCGCAGCGTGCACTGCCGTTGGCTGGTGAAGGGTGCTCGCTCGCTTTCCTTTCGGCCTCAAATTCCTGGAGCCTGCAGCTGCGCGGGGAGGGCTGTGCAGTGGAGCTCGCGGGGACGCCGCCTCGGCGAGGGCACGCTGGGCGCGTGTTGTTCCCCCGTGGGTCTCTGCCTCCCTCCTTAATCCAGGAAATGATTCATTTGCGCGCTCGTCATGCAGTTTGCACGTCTGCGTGTGGCTACAGCTACACAAATAAGTTCCCTTTAGTCTGTGATCTAGGCTGCGCTGCCTCTTGAGCTTCGTTAACTAATTCGTACGGTGAACGAAGAGCTTCCTGTAAAATGCGAGGCGCTGCGCAGAGTTAGCAGAAAACAGATGCATCCGGCACCGTGCAGCGCCTTCCTCTGCTTGGCCAGTGTCCGTGATCTGAAACAGTGTACAAGTATTAGTAGCTGTCAGGTAACCATCTTTCACGGGAGGAATTAGGCTCACAAAAACAGGATAGTTTGTCAGAAGTCGCGCTCCAGCTCCAGGCGACGCCTCTCCCCCGTCGGGCGAGGGACACACCACGCGAGTTTCTCCGTCCGCTGTCCCTTCCTCTGGCGCCTCGGCCCTCTGTCCCCGCGGTTTGATTTGGCTTCAATCATAAAATCCTACCCTTCTGGTTGCAGCGGCCCAAAGGGTGGGCCTTTTAGCTAAGCAGAAACAGTTACAGTCTTTCCCTGGCGTTATGTATGATTGTTGGGAGAAAAAAAAAATGTGTTTTCTGCTGGTCTGGTAAAATTGGGATCTCATAGTTGGGAGCTGACAGCAACCGTTTTCTCAAGTCTGCGAAGGAAGCGCCTTTTCTTTGGAGGGGGAGGGGTGCTCTTTGGAAATTGCAGAAAATGGACCAACTTAGAAGAAGCAAACAGAAATCGGAGATTCAGAGGAAAAAAATCCATGTTTAAACCTGGGGTCTTGCTCTGTCTCTGGCCAGTGGTGCTTCTGGAGGCTTCAGTTAAGCCAACAAGCTTGCCCCCCCCTCCCCTCTCCCCTCTCCTTAAGCTTGCTTAAGCTGAGTTCCTGTCATTTATGTGTAAAGAGAAGCCTGAATAATAAGTTTGGCACAGTGTTTATTTATCCCTCAGAGAATAATTGAAGTTGGGTGCCGGCCACAACTATCACTTAAGTGTTCCACTTCCCAAAATGAGTCACAGCGAGTGTGAGCCCCACGGACTTGGGTTAGACAGAAGCACAGCTAATTCTCTTTCGGTATTATTGCTGTTATAAACGGGGCGAAATTACATAAGCCAAAATTAGAGGCGAGAGAGCTAACATTTAACCTTAGAATGGCCGGGATCATGCAGAGAACGAGATAGACTTTTGAGATAAGAGTACGAGGATTTTTGATGTCATGGGCAAAAGAAAGAGGTACTAAGAACTATTCTGTCTGTTGGTTACAGTTGCAGGATGGGAAGATAGAAGGGGCACTTCTTTTCCACTTCTCCTTAAGTTCATGTTTGTGGTACATAATGGTTACATTCCTCTTCCAGAGGTCGGGAGTTCACAGAGATCTATAACACATCTCAGTTCTTTTTTCTTCCTCTTCTCTTCCCTTCCCTTTACCTCCCTTCATCTCTTAGTTCCTTTCCCACTTGCAAGAGATCTATTTCCCTATTTCCTATTGTCTAGTTTTTATTTTGCTCTTTATATTTTCTATTTCTTATTACAAGAGAAATCATGCAATACAGTATTTAAGCTTTGTTGGTCTCATTTATTTCACTTTATATTGTGGTCTCAAGGTGTATCCATTTTCTTACAAATGGCTCAAATTTACCCTTCTTCACTGCAGGGTAATACTCCATCGTATGTGAATATCACATTTTCTTTATTCATTAATTTATGGTGAACATATGGGCAACAAGAATAAAGAGAGCAATGAATTGTAAAGAGTGGGGAGGAAGATTTGCAATCATGAAATCTTGGAGACAGAGTTTCCTTGGGTCATTATTCTTGTCCTGAACAATTTCAGTGATGATCAGGTAGGTAGGTCACTAAGCAAAAGGTGGTCCACAGATAGCAGAGATGGATGATCTTTTTCACAGTCTTTGTCAGCTCTGCCATTCCAAGATTCCGGAGAGAAAATTATAGAGGATCTCTGTGTAATCCTTGGGGACACATCAAGGAAATTAAGACTGGTATTAAATTGGTGACATGAAAAGAAAAAAAATTAAATATGTGTAGATCCAATCCTTGCCTCCTGCCGACTTCCGGGGGCAGGGTTTTTGGCTGGTTCAGTCGTCTGTGAGGTCTTTGACAAGGTTGGTCTGCAGAAATCGGGAACAGGCTGCAATCCTCTACTTGAGAAAGGAGAGAGAAGTGGGCAGTGAGGAGAGGGAGGCTGAGGACTGAGGAAGAGAGGAGGAGGAGAGAAAAATAGTGGCTGTGGAGTAAGATTTGGGGTAGAGGAATCTGGAAAGAGGATTTTTGGAAGTTTGGTTTGAGTTGTGCAGTGACATTGCTCCTTGGCTCCTCCCATAAGAGTGTCAATAGAGATGTGTTTGTTTGTTTGTTTGTTTTTTCAAAAGGTTTCACATAGTCATTACTGTGCCAACCCGCTAGTGCAGATCATAGAAGAAGCAAAATCAGATTCCCATGGAGGTGACATTTTCAGCTCCATAAGGGGAGACGACCGTGGCCCTGACACAGCGTCCCTGTGTGTGCCAGATCACTTGCACCTCCTCACTTCCGTGGCTCTTCTCTGGTGCTCCTCTCGGAGTTGTGCTTGACTTTATCTCCGTTTTCGTGGAAATAAATGGAGTGATTTTGCCATTGCTTCTTGGCCAGGAATCCTTTGATTCCGAAAGTCTTGTGAGAAGAAAGGCAAGGAAAGGATTGAAGTTCACACACCACAATGGCAGAGAAAAGGAGAATAGGCCATGACTTACTTTAGGATAAGGCCCTTTTGAATCCGGGTTGCTTTTCTCCTGGCCACACCACCCACATTGCACAGGTCCCCCACCAACATCTCATAGTCCTTCTAACTAAGGCGAACCATGATAGAGGAAGAGAAATATCAAAGCGATAACAGCCGAGAATGGTCTGAGAGTGGATGGAAATCTTCATGCCCACTTTGGAGTGCTCAATTACAATGTGCTTCATGCTAGCCATTTCTTTTGGCCTCAGGAATCACTGAAAGCTTGTGGTGGTGATTTGGGAGGCGGTCAGTTACAGGAGAATGGGAAGGTTCGCATTTGGTAAATCAACAGCTCATAAGCAAGGAGATTGTGAGCTTAGCCATGTCTAAGACAAGCACTGGAAAATCAGAGGGCTCCCAAGTGGATAATACAAAAGAGTAATTGAATTGGATTTTAATAATTCATACAACTTCCGCTCCAATGTATTATAAGGATTACTTAAGCAGGATGTGGCCTCATGACAGATGAATTATGGGTTAAGAGAATCAGTATGGTGACTGGATATCTTATCAAATTAAAACTCGGTTTTCTGAGCAGGTATTTGACACCAGAAAACCAAAGGTAAGGCACATTTCCTCTTACTTAAGTGAACTTAGGCAGGTCTGTGAAAAGAGGAGAAACATTTGTCAAAAAATTATGTAGCGTTGGAACAATTAAATTAGAAATAAAGTCTAGGTTCAGGCCTTGCTGTCTGTACTGGAACTCAAGAGGGGATTCCACACTGCACGCCAAACCTCTTGGTGTAGGGGGTTCCACACTGGTCTTGCGAAGCGTAACCCAGTGCGGAGTGATGCAGGCCAACATCTACAGGTAGGAGAAGCTGTGCTGACTGAATACAGGAAGAAGTCTGGACTCCGGCACCTGTCACTCAATTCTGAAGGGGCAGAGATTTCCATATAGTGATCGGCAACATTTAAAATACTTCTAGAAGCAGCCTCTCCTACGTGGAGCTGCATCTGGTTGGCTTATGGGTTAATACACGTTTCAAAACCTTTTCATTTGACTCATCAAGACGTTGTTCCATCGATCAGTTCCAAATCCTGGGCAGTGGTTGCAGTGCTCCTGGTTCTGCCATTCCGTGGTGCGTGGAATCACCCTGCATGCTGTGGCAAGAGCTGTGTGTGGTTCTCTTACTGTTGTCTCGGGACCTGGCCGCCCTCTGGGAGGCCTTGGTGGCCGTAGGCACAGTTGCCTCGTGCAGCAGTTGGGTGTACAGCAGAATAAAGGATGGCAGAATGCGCCTGGAGCCACTGAACACAGAGGAGAATGTGTGAGAGACGACGCACTTTAACCACAGACCAAAATGAAACCCTGGTGAGCTCACTGAAGAAAAGGCTGCCAGTCCCAGGGCTGCCATGGGACAGAAAGTAAAAAGAAGAGCCCAAAGGGCACAGGCACATGACAGTTAACACAGCGCAGAAAAATAACTATTATGTGTTGATTGGAACCCAAGACACTAAAGAGGGCATTCAGAATGAAAACTGTTCTTCCAGTTCTTTCTCTCTCACTAGCTGCTGTGCCTTTGCTCTCTTTCTCTTTTAGGGGTTCCCAATGTGTTTTTTCTAGTACCACTTGTTATCTTCCTTTGGCCTTCCTTTGGGGTCTAACCCAGTCCTCTTTTAAGTCTGAGATAGTTTCTCGCTACAATATGAGTCCAGATTCAGTTGTCATAACAAAATACCAGAGTATGGATGTTTAATAAAAAGGGTCTAACCGTCCTCTTTTAAGTCTGAGATAGTTTCCTGCTACAATATGAGTCCAGATTCAGTTGTCATAACAAAATACCAGAGTATGGATGTTTAATAAAAGAGATAGGCCTGAGGATTTAGCTAGTGGTGCTGTGCCTGCCTCACAAGTACAAGGTCTTGAGTTTGATCCCCATTACTGAAAAAGAAAGAAAGAAAGAAGGAAGGAAGAAAAAAAAGAAAGAAAGAGAAAGAAAGAAAGAGAAAAAAGAAAGAAAGAGAAAGAAAGAAAGAGAAAAAGATAGCTGGGTGTGGTGGAATACACCTGTGATCCCAGCACTCAGGAGTCTGAGGCAGGAGGATCATGCAAGTTTGAGGCCAGCATGGGTTACATAGTGGGTTCAAGGCCAGCCTGAACTACATAGTGAGATCCTGTCTCAAAAAACAACACAAACAAGATGTATTCACTTTACAGTTTTGGAAGTTGAAAGTCTAAGGTTAGGCAGCCCCACTTCTTCAGCCTTGGTGAGGGCCTTACAGCAGTGGCATCATAATGACAAGAACATGTGTTGAAGGGGACAGAAAGCCAGAGGGACTCGGGGGCCAGGTTTGCACTTCTAGGACAACTCATGCTTGTGAAAGTGAACTCCCTGTGAGACCAGCACTCATCCTGCCTGAGGGGGTTTCCATGGCTTAACCAGCTCCCTTAGGTCATGTCTTTTCAAGGTTCTGTCACCTGTCAATATTACTGCCCTGGGGACCAACGCAGGAGGCTCAGGAGACAAACCCCACCCAAATGACAGTGCCACCTTGTTTTATGTTGTTAACTCTGAAAGAACTCTGAGCTCCTTCTCTGTGGGTAGGAAAAGCTGTGCCTCTTAGCCCATGTTAACCACCATCTGCAGGCAGGATCTTTATGCACAGGGGCTCTAAATAAAGTGGAAGCCTCATGGAGTGGCCCACGTGCAGTTGGGAGCCACCCCATACTCTGTGGAGCTGAGTTGAACTGGTATTTTCACCGCATGAGATTTTCCTGTGTGTGGATGCTTTGCAGGAAAAGCCACGTCCAGATAGTCTTAAGCCTGTGCAGAAATCATTTCCTTGGTCCTCTACCTCTCTGGGCTCAGTAACTAGCACTGCCCCAGGGGCGCAATGTAGGATGAAGTCACAGTTGATTCTCCCTAGAAATGGTGCTGTTTTGGATTTTATCATCCTGCCTGTGCAATGAGATAAACATGATTTTGATCCCCATTTTTTTTTTTTTAAGTCATTCGCTAGAAAGCAGACAGGGTTGTTCCAAAGTGAACTTCCTGTGTCATAGAAATCACAGAAGCATAAAAGGAAGAAATCAGATGTTCACACAGAGCTTGCTCAGGCTGACATTTTCTTTCCTAGCCAGAGTCATGAGGCCTCATGTTCTGTGTTCTTTTTTTCCTTTTTTGAATATAGAGTCTTGCTGGAATTCAGTTTCAAGATTAGGAGGAGCTAGGCATGGTGGTGCACGCCTAGAATTCCAGGACTGAGGAGGCTGAGGCCAGAAGATCCAGAGATCAAGGACAGCCTGGGCTACATAGTGAGTTTGAGGCCTGCCTGAGCTGTGTAGTGAGATCGAGACTGAAAACTGAAAAGTTAGGAGGAAGTAGGCACCCATCTGGAGGTTTATGCACGCGGGTATATCTGTGACTCTGCGCGGTGGGAGCTTGTTTGTGTGAACAAGTCACTGTGTAAGCAGGAATCTTCAGGGAAATGCTTACGCTTTGAACAATCTTCCTGCAACTGATGGATCCTTTTCCTTCAGTGGAAGGCAAAGCTCTTCTGGCCCAGGAGAGCCACACAGATTGAACAGATCAGAGATGACTGAAGAGATCAGAGTGAAGAAACTATTGGCCCTAGGCATAGTGCTGATCACTTTCTGTGCAGAGTTCCTGGTGTTTGTGCTTCTCAGAATGAAAATGCTTCAAGTAGGTGGTGGGCTGGTTTTTGTCCACTGAAATGCACTGTGGTTTTCTCAACTAGAAAAAAAAAAAAGGCCAAAATATGCTAGAAATATCAAATTAGTAGCATCATTTGAGATTAACGGCCTGGGTTGAGATTCTGGCATGGAAGCCATGTTTAAAACTTTGCATCACAGAAGTAACAGTGGCCCCTACTCCAATTGAATGAAAAAGAGGGTGACCATCAGCGGGGACATGATACCCTCACGTCCGGCTTTAGGGGAGCTAAGTTCTGGAGGGAGTAGGGACCTGGCTCGTGGGTAACTTTTTGATTGTTGTTGGATGTCCTCCATGAACCTCATGTGATTACACACACAGGTTTTGGAAGGTGGTTGGATTATAATGGCTTATAGCTGACTTGCTCCTAAGAGCTGGGGTCACTGGGAGCACGGCCTGGAAGGGTGTCTTTCCCTCTCCAGCTCCTCCCCGGACTCTCTGCTTCCTGGATGCCATGAGGTGAGCAGCCCTCCTCCCCGCAGGCCCTTCTACTGTACTTTTCTGCCTCGAAGTAGGCTGACTGTGGACTGAAACGCCTACAAACTGTGAGCCAAGATAAATTTCTCCTTTTTTAAACTGTGGGTGTTGGGTAATTTTTTCCCAGGGGAAAAAGAAAGTGACTAAGACAATTCTCTCACTCACCATTGATTCGTGGTTATTTACTGACTACTATATGCTAGCAGCTACATCATGTTTCAGAAGCTGAGGCTACAACAGTGAGCAACAACTAGGTCCCTGTCCTCATTGAACTCATTGCCAAGTGGATGGAGAGACTGTAAAGTGGTACTAAGTGCAAGGAAGAGAAATAAGGCAGGATGAGGGTGTGGTTGGGTGGTGCTGTTTTAGATATATCGGACAGGGAGGGTGTCTCTTATGGGTGCATTCGAGTGTGGACCTGAATCAGCTGCTGGCGCAAGTTGGCTAGAGGGAGATCTTTCTAGCCCAAGGAACGGTCTTAGAAGACAGAGGTGGGAGTGGGTCTGTGGACCAGCAAGGGGCCCATGAGGCTGGAGCTGTAGGCGCCAGGGAGGAATGGCAGGTAGAGAGGTCAGAGAGTTGTGTGGACCAAAATCAAGTGGCTGGGACGCCATTGGAGATGTTAAGCAGAAGCGCAATATAGTCTCATGTAGGCTTTGCCAGGACCGCTGAGGCTGCTGAAGTGTCAAACAGACTCTAGTGAGGTGCCAGAGACAGCGGGGAGGTGGGAGCCGACTGCAGAAGTCTGGGTAAGAGAGATGGTAACTGAATGAGGAGACGGTGGGACATTAGTCAGGTAGTTCATAGGAGCCAACAGAAGTCTCAATGGGATGTGGAGTATGAGAGAGGAAAAAAGGGAATCAGAGATGATTCCAACCTGTTTGCTTTCCAAGCCACTAGGAGACTGGGACTGCTACTTACTTCAGTGGGAGGGAGCAGATTTTGGAGGGACATGAGAAATGGATTTGGACATGGAAGTTCTGGTTTTGTTTGAGATAGGGTTTCACTATGGAGCCCAGGCCAGCTTCAGATTTGTGATCTTCCTGCCTCAGCCTGCAAAGTGCTGAGATTATAGGCGTGTGTCACCATGTCTGGCTCATGGTTCACTTGAGGTCTTATTAGACATCCATGTGGAGGTACCAAGTAGGTCATCGGTGGTAAGAGCCCAGAGTTCAGGAAGCCAGGTGAGGTATAAGTGGAGGCTCTGGTGGAATCCAGAGTCAATTCATTCTTAAGTTCCATTTTACCCTCAAGAGATGGATGGGAGGTCTTCAGGATCCCTGGAAACTGCAGAGATTTGGGGCGTGCTTTGAGTCAGGGACCGCCGGGACTATGGAATATCTCTGTTCTGTCTTTAGGTCCTACCAAATCCCAGTTAGGTGGCTACTGCAAGCCACTCCAGCCGGCCGGTGTTGGATATACACACAGTGGAGAACAAGCCGCAGTCACTGTCTTCATACAATGTTTTGCAGGAGATTAGGTCAAGAGAATGGAGGTTTTAGTACAATGACACAGGGTAAGTCTGGGTGCTGTTGGACACAAAGGAGGAGCACGTCAGTCTGTCTTGGGCTCAGAGAGGGCTTCCCTGAGACCGTGCGACATAGGCTTCCCCTTAAGGGTGAGTGGAGGAGCTGGGTGAAGGGGTGAGAGGGTGGGTGGGGCATGTTCTAGGAGAGGCAACAGGGTGGGAGCAGAAGGCGTCTGCTCAGGTGGAGGACAAGGGGGAGGAGCAGTCTCAGGCTCTGCGCTCTAACACATGACCTGGAATGTGTCCACATACTGTAAGGCAGGAGGAGAAGGCAGAGCCGGGGTCTGTTTCCCTTAGCCTCAGCTAGTGGCATATGCCCCAAATTGCTAATCACTCTGATGGAAACGAGGCCCAAGATACCAAGACTTTAATGGGGCCGGGTAGGGTGTGGGAGAAAGCAAGGTGAGAGACTGAGGGACAGTTCTGAATGGGACAGAGCCCAGGCAGGGCGCACTGTAGTCGTGGGGGAGGGAGGTAACAGGGATGGGAGTGGAAGCCCAAAGCGAGTATCTCACTGAGTCATCTTACTTGGTGGATGTGTGTGCCGGGCGGTGTGTTCGGTAAGGGCCTGGCCGCTGAGTCCAGCCGCTGCGGTGTGTGCATTAGGGGCCTATGTGTGTGACGGGACGTTCTCTCCGCGTTGGCGTGGATGTGCACAACTCTGGAATGCACCAAGTGCAAGCACCTACCTGCAGGAGAGGGATCTGCATCCAACATATGCCGAGAGCACATGCCTTGGGTGGTATGTGTTGTGCCACGAAGGCGTCTCAAACTGAACGAGCTACAGGTTCCGCTTGAACTTGGAGAGGGCTTGTGCTCATTCGGCACACAGCAGACACGCGTGAATTTGTCAAATGAACAAGCATTTTGGTTTTATTAGTCATTTTAGGAAGTGTATAGGTTGGGTTAAAGATTTGGAGTAGATGTTTTAAGAAAAAGAAATTTCTGGTCTTATCTAGACCAGATCTGATCTTATCGAGAAAAAACACAGAGCAACACCGACACCAACATCCATTTAGAAAATCGAGGGGTTTAGATCCTGTAAAGGACTTGAGCTTAAGCCCTAAAGTCAGAAACTCTCTCCATTTCGTTTCATTCAACAAACATTTCTCGAACATCTCAGCCCACAGGCAAGCCCTGGGCCTTGCTGCAGGGACTCCTTTCCCTTCTCTCAGAGCCACCTTAATCTGGATGCTGTAATTACAGCTTAATTATGTGTCATTTTGTATTATTCCTTAATTGTTGCAGGGACATTAATTCACCTCCAAGGTGGCTGCGTTATCCTTAGGGCAGGGGTGTTAGAGGCAGAAGTGTTTGAGAACAAACAGAAACAAGGACACAAAACTGTTTATGGACTGGAATTATTTCTTTAATAGTAAAATATAAAATTCCAACCTGCCACTTCTTGAAAGGGGAGGATTTGTGTATTAATGTAAGAACTGTGACCGCACACCTTGTTCCTCTTAGCAAAGAACAGGAGTCCTGCTTCAGCAAGACAAGTCAGTAAGGGGCACTACTGAAGTTGCAGACCAGGGATCTCTGTCCTTGCCAGAGGTCTTGTTCTTGAAGGAGGTTTAGCAGCATCTTGGGTCCAAGAGGAAGCAAAAATATCCCCAGACATTGCTAAGTGTACCTGGAGAGGAAAATCAGCCCCAGTGGAAAGCAAGCATCCTACAGGAATTTTGGTTCCAGTTAATTTTCTTATTTGGCACCTTGTGAGAAACAAGGGAAGGGAAATACTATTTATGCTGATTTGCTAGGCACCGTATCTATGCAATTTTATCTCATCTTCCAGATAAAGAAGCTGACGTCCAGACTTGAAGACTCTGCTGAAGGTCACCCAGCCAGGTCAGCAGTTACATCAGGTTTGCCCGCAGGCTGTCCGACTGACTGCAGAAACTTCACCCAGCTCACTCCTGCAGGAGAGGTAGAAGGCCGGCAACTGTCCTGTACTTTCAAAAATTAGATCGGAAAATATATTAAACCTTTTGTCGGGGGGGGGAAGATCACTCTTCTATTTATTAAATTCGCTTAATATAAATATATACAGTATGCCATCACACACAGGGCCCTGCGCTACCGTTGAGGATCTGGTCTTATCTAGAGAAAACACAGAGCAACACAATGGAACAGCTTCAATTCTCCTTGTTACAAATTATCCAAAAGCCAGGGCCTAACGGTGCCAAAAGCAACCAGCATTGTTTACACAAGGGTTGAAAGCTAATAGTTAACTTTCTCCCATTTAATTCCAGAAACGGTAAATAACGCCTCATTTTACAACTACAAACGAGGGAAATGTCATAAAGCGGGGAAAGAGAAGACTCAGAAGCAAATGGGAACTTTGCTTTTCCTCCTTCCTGCCGTCCTGTCCCGCGCTACCGCTGCCTGGGGTCCCTGTGGCCCCGCCAAGCTCCGGTCCCCGGTCCCCGACGCCGGCCCGCAGCTTTCTGGCTTCCTTTCCCGCCCTGGGGCGAGCTCGGCCTCTCGCGGAGAAGCCTGTCCCGGAGCCAGGCCTGGAAAAACAACAGCGAGAAACTTTGGCAGGGTTTGCAGCTCAGTGCGGGGGGGCGGAGCACACCCTCAAGTTTGGTTCGGGGCTGCAGCTGCCGGTTCCGATTTGGGGGCGGAGGCGAGAGGGGGTCACCACTCGGTCAGGTTCAAGCGCGCATGTGCGCGGAGGGCGCGGGCACTTATTGAGCGCCGACGGTCTACCTGGG